ATAGATAGATAGATAGATAGATAGATAGATAGATAGATAGATAGATATGGATGGATTATAGAGGATAAAGATAGATAGATTATAGAGGCAAATTATAAAAAGAGAGATATAGATAAAGATAGAGACACACACAATATATAGAGATATACAGACACATATAGATGGATGGATGGATGGATAGATGGATAAGATAAATAGAGAGATAATAACAGAGAGATAATAACAGAAAGATAATATAGAGAAAGGGACAGAACAATATAGGTAAGATAAAAAGAGACGCGCAGAGAGATTAGATAAGATGGATGAATGGATGGACGGAAAGGGTTAGAAAGCTCCTATACTTTAGCAAACCAACCAATCCAACCCCCCCCCCGTCAGCACCTCACCTCCAGCTGTTTGCTGGCGACCAAGAAGATGCGTCCATGAAGCTCCTTCCAGCGACTCTCCGTCCAGGTGGAAAACTCGGTGGATCCCCACTGTTGGAGCTCGAAGGCCGGAGAGGAGGCCGGCGTGCGGCGGACCGTCGACCTGACGCAGAAGGGCTTGCGGGGGGAGCTGGCGTTGGGATACGGGGAGCCCCGCACCCACATGTAATTGTAGAACTGCAGGAGATAAAACCCAGAAGCAAAGCCCGGTTATTCGTGTGCCGCTTTGACCACGATAAAGAAAATTTGAGACTGCGCAGAAATGGATAGGCTGACTTCAGAGTTAAAGGATAGAGAAGAATCGATATATTATTCAGCCTGCGACGCCTGGTATGAATGGTTTGAGAAGAGAAAGAAAATTAATACTTGTTATCAATGAAAGGATATGAATTTATATATACTGAATGTAGAATTAATAGAAAATGTATTATGTAACCATCGGTATAAATAAGGGGTACGGAATAGTAAATAAATAGGAAAAGTAATATTTAATAATTGTAATGTAACAAGAAATTAAGTATAAATATGATTAAGAAATGTAAATGATGTCTTCAATGTTGATCCAATTGTGTTGTTTTTGTGTTTTTTTTAAACTGTTGGAAAATTGAATAAATTTTTTTAAAAATAAAGCTTTGAACATAAAAGTTTGGGTAATGGTTATGCCGATTTCTTGTTGTCGGTTTTTATTTATTTATTTATTTTTGAACCTCAGCTGCTGAATGGCTGTGTTGTTTTCATAGCTATGATTTTATTTATTTATTTTTGCTGCTCTTGGCCACCCGGAGTCTGAGAGAGGCGTATAAATGGAATAAATGAAATAGATGGATGAAAGCCAAAGCAAGCGATCGCTTTGATACTAATCTTCACATAGGTCAATTTGCAAAAATTGCCCTTTTCCAGGTAAACCCTTAAGCCACGTGCAGGAAAAAAAAACAACCATCCCCGCAGGATGTTTATAGAGGTAGGCCTCAGCTACAGAATAACAGAGTTGGAAGGGAGCTTGTAGGTCATCCAGTCCAACCCCCTGCCCAAGCAGGAGACCCTACACCATTTCTGACAGGTGGAAGTCCAATCTCTTCTTGAAAGCCTCCAGGGATGAAGCTCCCACAACTTCTGAAGGAGACTCCTGTTCCATCGGTTGATGGTTCTAGAAAATGTCTCCTTATTTCCAGGTTGAATCTCTCCTTGTTCAGTTTCCATCCATTATTCCTTGTCTGGCCTTCAGGTGTTTTGGAGAATAAATTGACCCCCCTCCTCTTTGTGGCAGCCCCTCAAATACTAGAAGGCTGCTCTCCTGTCTCCCCTGGTCCTTCTCTTCCCAAGACTAGCCAGGCCCAGTTCCTGCAACCTTTCATCGTATGTTTGAGCCTCCAGTCCCGTCATCATCCTGGTTGCTCTTCTCTGCACTCTTTCTAGTCTCACTTCGACTTAAAACCATTCATTTAGTGACCAAAGTTCCCATGGCACTGAAAAAAAAGTGACTTATGACCGTTTTTCACCCTTATGACCATTGCAGCATTCCCATGGTTAAGTGATCAAAATTCAGAGGCTTGGCAACAGGCATGTACCTGTGACAGTTGCAGTGTCCCAGAGGTCATGGGATCCTTTTTTGCAAACTTCTGACGAGAAAAGTCAATGGGGAAGCTGGATTCACTGAGCAACTGTGTTACTAATTTAACAACGGCAGCAAAAAAAAAAGGTTGAAAACGGGGCCAACGTGGATCACGTGGATGAATGTGTTACAGAAATTCTGGGCTCAATGGCAGTGCTAAGCCAAGAACCACCTGTAACACGGTGAGGTTTATTGGTTCTTGTTGTCCAACTTTTATCAACTTCCAGTCAAAACCACTGGACCAGAGGAGGAGTGTTATAGTAATAGAGATACTATGCATATAAGATAAGAATAGAGAATTAATACCAAAGTAATGAAAATGGATGTAAATTTTGTTATTGCACAAGATATTTGTACCCAGGCGACACAACGTTAAATGGAAGATGAATTGGATGTACCATAAATAAAATAATAAAAACACACTAAACCATCTGAGCATCTCTGGCCAATGCCTGTTGTGGTTCGCCGGCAGCCTGTGTAGACAGTGGGGAAGGACGGGGACCAGTCCGGGAGTCTGGAGAGGACTCGGACGAGGGTCCTGCATCCGATGCAGAAATGGGGCCAGGACCATCTGGGAGTCGGGTGCTGCCTCCGGAGCCTCCAGAGTCTGGCAGCAGTGAGGCCGAGGAGCAAGGGGAGCCTGTTCCCAGTGCGCGTGTGCGCAGAGCTGCCAGAAGGTGAGAACAGCTGAGACAAAAGGGGCGACTCGGGAGTAAGGCCGGGAGGTGACTGTCCCTCCCATATGATATAAAAGTCAGGCCAAGGTGATGAAACCTTTGCAGGAAGCAAAGTAGTTCGATTGGTTCCAAGTCATCCTCGAAGTTCTTTGTACTTCAGTTGGGGTTTTTTTTTGTACTTCGGTTGGTTTCTTTTCTAGTTCATTCGATGCTTCTGTTTTTGGCAGCGCTTCACAGAACTGAAAGGTGGGTGCTTATCTCGAGGGGCTGTTTGCAATTAATTCCGGCGGGGAATGAAAACAATTCCCAGTGTTGCAATAAAACAAATCCTGTTTTTAAAGTAGGTTTGTGCATGATTACGGTTGACGAAGCCTGGGTTAGAACAATGCTCAATGTTAGGATCAGGTTTAGCTGGGCTCCTGGCTGGCCATACATTCGGGATCTGTCTCTGTCTATCTTTGAAGTTGACAAGTTGCGGTCCGAGATCCTCCAAAGGTCACCGAATCTTGTGCAAACTTGATGTGTGGTATCAACAGCCTCCTCTGAGACCTTCTCCAGATGCCTCCACGTGTTCGGGTGGTGGCATCTGAAGAGGGGGGCAGCAGCTTCTCCCAGGGTTTTCACCACCTGGGCTGTTTATTTCCCAGATTTCTTTTTTAAAACAAGTACATGTTTATTTATTTTTCCTGGTGATTATTTTATCCAGTTTTTTGTAAAAACAACAACAACGGTGCTCGACTTAAGAGGATGAGGAGACTCACATCGTCCTTGGAATCTTTGCAATGCTCCTTGGTGATGTTGTCCCCCAGGCGGGTCCCGGTGAGGTTGGCCAAGACATACTGGACGAGGCTGGTGGAGTTGACGGGACTGGAGACCGCGATGTAATACTGGAGGGGCTCATCGCCTGGGAGGGGAGAGAAAAGCGGGGGGGGGGGGGGGCAGAGAGTACCCTCAGGCAGCAGCCTTCACCCCTGGAGATATTCCTCTCTCTCTCTTTTCTCTCTCATTTTCTCATTTCCTTTTTCACTCTTTCATTTTCTTTCTCCCTTTTTCTCATTCCCTTTTTCCTCCTTCTTTCTCTCCCGTTCTCTCACTTGGTTCTCTCTCGCATTCTTCCCCTCCCCCCCTCATTCTCTCTTTTCTCATTCTCTCTCTCCCTCTGTTCTTTCTCTCTCATTCTCTCATTCTCTTTCAATTTCTCTCTCCCTCTTTTTCTCATTCTCTTTGTCTCTTTTTCCTCATTTTTTAATCTTTCAATCTGTTGTGGTTTGCCAGCAGCTGGTGCAGACAGCAGTGGAATTGGACAGTGGGGAAGAATGGGGACCACTTTGGGAGTCTGGAGAGGACTTGGTCCTGCGTCCGATGCAGAGATGGGGCCAGGACCACCTGGGAGTGGGGTGCTGCCTCGGGAGCCTTCGGGGTCTGGCAGCAGTGAGGCAGAGGAACAAGGGGAGCCTGTTCCCAGTTCATGCATGTGCAGAGCTGCCAGAAGGCCAGAGCAGCTAAGACGAAAGGGGCGACTCGGGACTAAGGCTGGGAGGTGATTGCCCCTCCTCCCATAAGACATAAAAGAGGTGCAAAGGTAGAGGAACCTTTGCAGGAAGCAAAGTTGTTCGCTCTGTTTGGATTAAGCCTTGAAGCTCTGTGTGGACTTTGTTCTTCAGTTGGATTTTTATAGTTACTTTGGCACTTTAGTTGTGGGCAGCCATTCAAAGGAGAGAAAGGTGGGTGCTTATCTCGAGGGACTGTCTGGGACTCATTACAGGTTGGGAATGCACATAATTCCCAGCCATTGAAATAAAACAAGAGTTGTCTGGACTAAGCATGTGCTTAATTACGGTCTCAGGAAGCCCTGGTCAGAACACAAGTCTCTCTTTTGCTTCTTCCTCACTCATTCTTCCCCTCCCCCTCTCATATTCTCTCTTTTCTCATTCTTTCTCTTTATTCTCCCTCAGTTCTTTCTCTCTCATTCTCTCTCTCATTTTCTCATTATCTCTCTCATTATCTCTCTCTCACACACACACAGGCACACAAACACACACACACACACGCCTCACCCAGAGGCCCTTTAAAATCTGGCCTAGTGATGGCCTGGAACCAGGAGTTGTTGGACTGGATCAGGAAACCATACAGCATGCGTGTGACCTGGAAGAAAAAGGCAAAACATCCAGCCGGAAACGTTCAAAAGAGCCCACTAAACAGTAGCAAACTACTCAACTACTTGTAAAAAAGTTTATTATTGCTGGTAAAACTTTTAGTTGGAGTAAATTACTAAACAGGAGCAAAAGCCGTTTCTCCAGGAGGCAATGAGGTCTCCGCCCTTAGGCAGGCGAGTTGGGCTAGATGACCTTCAAGTTCCCTTCCATCCCTTGGATTCTATGTTCGATGAGATCTGGCTCTGCGGGTCCTGATGAGACAAGGTCCTCAGTGTCCCCCAACACCTGTGGATCAGGCCGTTGCCTCCTCTGGCTTTCACAGAGGATGGGAGCTGGATCTTTTGAGTAGAGACAGCCAACGACTCGCGGGGGCACAGAAGGGGATTTGAAAAGGGGGTGCCAAACGCCCTTCTCTTTTGATCGCAACCACCACGGGCCTGTTGGGACCTTCCCTTTCCAGAAAAGGTGGTTGAGTCAGTGGGGAGGAGGTAACTTCCTAGCACCCTAAGTCAGGGGTTTCCCCAAACTTGGCCGCTTTAAGACGTGTGGGCTTCAAACTCCCAGAATTCTCCAGCCAGCAGAGCTGAAGTCGTCACACGCCTTAAAAGTGGCCAAGTTTGGGGAGACCTCTGCCCTTCAGTGATTGGTCCGTATTATTTTTATCTCATTAAACAGTGCCTATTTAACGCTATACGCTTTGCAGTTATTTCTGTGCGCTTCCAATAATTGCTTGACTGCAGCTGTCAAATACAACGGAGGAAATTAATAATCGGATTACTAGACCACCTGAGAGACAGGGAGAAAAAATCCCAGGATTGGTGGCTCCACAGAAAGCGATGGAAGGGGGCAAAGAGGAATTCCAAAAAGCAGGATTGGGGGGGTGGGGGTGGAGTGGGAATCCCACCCTTTGCCCGGCTACTGACCTGCCTCTCCAGACCTCTTGAGTGAATTATGCTGGCCCAAATCCAGCAGCCTCTTGTGTAAAGCAGTTGGGAAAAGAACATTTTGCCAGCCAAAACACTGGGGATTCTTGCATGTTATTCTTTTCTTT